GTTGCCATTTTCGATGGCTGCTGGTGGGTCCTGCGGAGTGAGGCACCGCGCAGATCTGAGCGGGACCTCGCCGTCCTTGGGGGGTTGCGATCTGCGAAATTGTCGCCACTTTCGAGGGCTGCTGGTGGGCCCAGCGGAGCGAGACACCAGGCAGATTTGAACGGGACATCGCAATCCCCGGGGGGCTGCGAGCCTAACGAATGCCGCTTGCAGAAATATATGCGCCCATGTCACGTCATCACCTCCGTATAACGTCTCCCAAGCTACTCATGCCCCGCGTTGCGCAGGGGTCGTGCGCGTCGCCAGGGTATTTTTTTGGGGGCGGGGGCTTAACCAGCGAAAAGGGTAGTCTTAACCAATCCGAAATCGATTTCGATATGGTTAAGACCCCCCTTCATTTGGGGGGGTCTTAATTCGGCGGAAATCGGTTTCTGGCAATTTAGAGTTTTTGTTTTTGGGGGAAAGGGGCCTTAACCAGCGAAAATCGATTTTCGGCGGTCAAGGGCGCTTTCTTTGGGGGGGGGCTTAACCAGCGAAAATTTATTTTCAGCGGTTAAGGGGCTTTTGTTCGGGGGGGGGGGGTGCTTAACCAGCGATAATAGATTTTTCTGCGGTTAACAGCGTTTTTTGTTGTGGGGGGGGGCTTAACCAGCGAAAATCGATTTTCGGCGGTTGTGGGCGCTTTGGGGGGGGGAAGGGGGGGGTGGGAAGGGGGGTGTAACCAGCGAAAATCGCTTTTCGGCGGTTAAGGGCGCTTGGGAGGGGGGGGGGGGGCTTGACCGGCGAAAATCAATGTTCGCCGGTTAGGGGCGTTTTTTTTTGATGGGGGGATGAGAGGGGGGGGGGGGGGGGGGGCGCAGCGCGCGACAATTTTTGCGCGTGCTCCGCGTGCCGCGCGCCCTTGGGGGTGGCGGTGGCGGGCCCTCCGAACGTCAATTTGAGCTCTAACATGCTATGTTAGAGCTCCATTTCTGATCTAGCATAGCATGCTATATCACAACTTGTGGTCTAACTTCGCATGTTAGATCACACTAGTGATATAACATGACATGTTAGATCGAACGTTGTGATCTAACATGGCACGCTAGATTGCAAGTTGTGCTTTAACTTGCCATGTTAGAGCAGAAATTGCGCTCTAGGGCCAACTTTGCGCTCTAACATGCCACGTTAGAGCACAACTTCTGATCTAACATAGCATGTTAGAACACAACTTGTGATCTCTAACATACCATGTTAGGTCGCAACTTGTGCTCTAACGTCCTATGTTAGATCACAGTTTGTGATCGAACATAGCATGTTAGATCACAGTTGTGATCTAACATCCCATGTCAGACCACAGCTTGTGATCTAACATGCGGTGTTAGAGCAGAAGTTGTGCTCTAACGTGCCAGGTTGAAGCAGAAATTGTGCTTCGCAGTCAAATTTGTGATCTAACATACAATGTTAGACTACACATTGTGATCTAACATAGCATGTTAGATCCCAACATGTGATCTAACATCGCATGTTAGATCACAAGTTGTGGTCTAACATGGTATGTAATCACAATTTGTGCTCGAACATGCCATGTTAGAGCACAAATTGTGCTCTACATCCAAATCTGTGCTCTGGTATGCTATGTTAAAGCTCAAATTCTGATCTACCATCGCACGTTAGATCACAGTTTCTGATCTAACATAGCTTAGCATGTTAGATCGCAACCTGTGGTCTAACATACCATTTTAGATCGCAGCTTGTGACCTAACATGCTATGTTCGATCACACACGGGATCTAACATAACATGTTATACCACAATTTGCGACCGAACATGGTATGTTAGAGCACAAGTTGTGATCTAACATGGTCTGTTAGATCACAGCTTGTGATCTAACATGGCATGTTAGACCACAAGCTGTTATTTAACATACCATGTTAGATCACAAGTTGTGATCTAACATAGCACGTTAGATCGCAATTTGTGATCTCACATCGCATGTTCGATCACAAGTTGTGATCTAGCATGGTATGTTAGATCGCAGTTTGTGCTCTAGCATGCCATGTTAGAGCACCACTTGTGCTCTACAGCCAAATCTGTGCTCTCGTATGCTATGTTAGAGCTCAATTTCTGATCTACCATAGCACGTTAGATCACACTTTCTGTTAGATCGCAACTTGTGGCCGAACATGCCATGTTAGATCGCAACATGTGGTCTAACATGCTATGTTAGATCACACGTGGGGTCGAATATGCCATGTTATATCACAAGTTGTGATCGAACATGCGATGTTAGACCACAAGTTGTGTTTTAACATTCTATGGTAGATCACAAATTGTGATCTAACATGCTATGTTAGACTTCAACTTGTGCTCGAACATGCTGTGTTAGAGCTCAAGTTGAGCAGAGATTCCCGCTTTGTGAGGGGGGGGGGGGTGGGGGGCTTAGCACGATGAAAATCGATTTTCGCTGTTTAAGGGCGCTTTCGGAAGGGGGGGGGGGGGCAAGGGCGTTTTTTTTTTTTTGAGGGGGGGGGGGGGGGGGGGGCGCGAGACATTTTTTTAGATTTCCGCGCGCCGCGCGCACTTGGGTGCGGCGGGGGCGGGCCCACGGGATATCGATTCTCGCGAACATCGATTTCAGCTCTAACATAGCATGTCAGTTCACAAGTTGTGATCTAACATGCTATGTTAGAGCACAAGTTCTGCTCTTACATGCTATGTTAGAGAACATGTGCTCTCACATGCCATGTTAGAGCAGATATTGTGCTCTACAGCCACAATTGTGCTCTAACATGCTATGCTTGAGCACAGTTCTGCTCTAACATGGCAGGTTTGAGCACACATTGTGATCTAACATACCATGATGGATCACAACTTGTGATCTACCATGCCATGTTAGAGGACACATTGCGCTCTAAAGTGCCATGTTAGAGCAGAAACTGCGCTCGAACATAGCATATTCGATCACAAGATGTGCTCTACCATGGAGTGCTAGATCACAATGTGTGCCCTAATCATGTTAAAGCAGACATTGTGCTCGACAGCCAAGTTTGTGATCTAACATGCTATGTTCGATCACAAGTTGTGATCTAATATGGCATGTTAGATCACAGCATGTGATCTAACACACCGTGTTAGGTCACAACTTGTGATCTCACATCGCATGTTAGGTCGCAACTTGTGGTCTAACATCGCATATTAGATCACACGTTGTGATCTAACATTGTATGTTAGATCACAGTTTGTGCTCTGACATGCCATGTTAGAGCACAACTTGTGCTCTACAGCCAAATCTGTGCACTAGTATGCTATGTTAGAGCTCAGTTTCTGAACGAACATAGCACGTTCGATCACAATTTCTGATCTAACATAGCATGTTCGATAGCGACTTGTGGTCTAACATACGATGTTAGATCGCAACTTGTGATCTAACATGCTATGTTAGATCGCGCGTGGGATCTAGCATGCCATTTTAGATCACAAGTTTTGATCGAAAATGATATGTTAGACCACACGTTGTGATTTAACATGGTATGTTAGATCACAGTTTGTTCTCTAACATGCCATGTTCGATCACAAATCGTGCTCTGACATGCTATGTTTGCCTGCAACTTGTGCTCGAACATGCTATGTTAGAGCTCGAGTTGAGCCATGCTAAGGTTTAGCACCAGTTTTGCCCGAACATGCCATGTTAGAGCAGAAATTATGTTCTAACATGCTCTGTTAGAGCTCAATTTCTGCCAGGAAAGGCATTTGCCGCGGTGTCCTCCCCAGGAGCTCTTCAAACTGCGCAGGCGGCAAGGACATGAATCACCAGTTTCTACAACAGTTCCGTGCAACGAGTTCGTCACCATTGTGCCCGATGATGCGGCGGGCATCAGAGCAGAGCGAGAGCTGCAGAAAGCCGTTGGCGATAAGGGAAAAAGATGAAAAAAGGCGTCAAGACACCGAAACCGCCTAAAGCTGCGCATGAGTTGATCTGCCGGTCTAACATGCTATGCTAGATCACATATGGGATCTAACATGCCATGTTAGATCACACTTTGTGGTGTGGATCTCTCCTTCTCTCTCTCTCTCTTTGCCACTCTCCCTCTGTCTGTCGCTATCCCGATGATGATGATGACGATGGCGGCGGTGGTGATGATGATGATGGGGATGATGATGATGACGACGCTGAAAAAAACGAGTGAGTCAGTTGCGCTCCACAAGCCCGCCCTAAAGACAGCCAGTCAGTTTCACGAGCGAGATCCGCTCGTCGTCGGCATCCAGGGGGGGCGCGTTCAGGTACATCGCGTCCGGAGAGGTACCTACTACGAGCAGTTCATCGCGCGCGCCACTCCTGAAGGTGGCCTGGGAGTCCAAGTATGGATGCACAATGATCTAAGTTTTGCTAGTTGCGTGGTGCGCAAGTCCCCCCGTCTGATGCGCGTTGTGGGCAAGCTGCAGCACTCCGAGGGGGGCCTGGCCATTGTCTCGGCCCGCGCGCCCACTTCGAGTTCGTCGTTTGCCGAGCTGCAGACCTGCGCAGGTTGAGGTTGACGGCCTGCGCAGTTGGATCAACGAGAAGTACAACTATGCATACCTGCTGAATTTCGTGGACGGCAGTTGTCGTCTTGGACCCGAGGGGTCCGAGGGAGTCCAAGCAGCCGACCCTCTTTGCCACGATGTTGATGTTTGTAATGGCGCCGTTTCGTGTTCGCGCGCTAGCTAATGTGAATGAGATGGTTGCGCTCAACACGCTTGGTCGGCGTAAGACCACGTGGAGATCAGTCCATGTGCCAGAGTCTCGCATGGACTACAGGCTGTGCAACGGCAGGCTGATGAGTTTCTTCAAACGTGTGGATGGACCCCAGCGTCAAATTGACCATGCCCAGTTATGTTGGTCACAAGGTGGTGGTTGCTTCTTTTGAGGACGTGCAGTTCGCTCGGCGCGCGGTCAGGGCCAAGCCCAACTGCGAGGTCAAGAAGGCAGCGCTGACCGACCCCGAGAGCAGTTCCAGATCATGATGTGGGAGTTCCGAGGCCGCCCCGAGTGGGGCCTGGCCACGTGCGTCCAGGCGTGCGCGGCGCGCGCCATGAAGTGCGCCATCCAGATCTGCGGGGGAGCTGAGAAATTCCACAGGAAGCCGTGGATATCACCCGCGACGTTGAGCAGGCGTCGCATCTCGCTCCGTTACGCCGCCGCGCCCGCGCGCACCTCCGGGGCGCGCGGCTTCGGTGGCGAGCTGCCTGCTTCTACCGGCGGGCCTCTGCTCTGCGCGAGACCTTCCCCGCGCCTCCAGGTCGCGCCAGAGGGCGGCGCGCCCTCGGCGCGGCCGCCGACTCCCGGGGAGAAGACCGCCGCGCGAAGAAATTCTGGCACGTCGTCGACGGAGGCGGCCGCAAAGCAGCGGCGAGCATCCGCGACCTCCTGCGTCGGGGCCCCCGCGACTTCATCGAGCGCATGGCAATGGGGGCGCGGGGGCCGCCTTCCGCAGCGACGCCCAAGCCACCCTCGCCATCGCGAGGTAGCAAGGTGGCAAGTCCGCGAGCAGCGACCAGACCATGCGCGACAAGGGCGGCCTGCTCGTTGAGCCCCCCGACTTTCGCGAAGCTCGATGGGAGGGGCACTTCTGCGACGTGTTCCAGGGCAGGGTCGCCGAACGCATCGACGTCGCGCCCGCGTCGGCCAGCTTTGCGCGCGGCGCCGCCGTCGAGCGCTCCCAGGCGCAGCCGTTGTTCGGTTCTCCGGTTGTCGCAGCCAGCCTCGAGCGCATGGCGAGGAATCAGGGCGTCAGCATCGACGGCGTGCCCGTTGAGGTCTTGGCGGCTTCTGGCGACGCCTCTGCCGTCGAGATCTCCGACGTTGTCCGCCGTGCCCAGAGGGGCTGGCCGTCGGCCTGGAAGGCCGGCAAGGTCGTCGACGTCTACAAGCGCGAGGGCGACAGGACTGGATGCGACAACAGTCGGGGCATCTTACTGCTCGATCATACGTTCAGAATGCTGTTTGGGCTTCTCATGGGTGCCGTCAACTTAGAGTACTCTCTGACAATACCAGTGTCTCAATTTCGTATTGTGCCGAATGGCGGTTGCGACTTTGCTACTCATGTACTGTTGTCGGCTGTCGACCTGGTGCAGATCCAGAATATGTACATGTTTGTCCTCCTCATAGATCTCGCAGAAGCGCTCGGTAGAATCGTGCGTGGGATTGCGTTCGGCTTCGCCGATGAGGCTTCGGAGGGCCCCTTTGGCCACCTTCGATCTCTTGGTTTATCAGAGCTGCGGTCCTCATGGATTGTCGAGTTCCTGAGTTCTCTGAGTCCTCTCCTTGTCCAGCGGGGACTTGACCCGCTCGCAATCCGGCCCTTGCGCGACGCCCGCGCCAGTTCTTTGCTTACCCATGGATCGCGGTCGTCACGGGTAGTCACGCAGGAAGGAGGCCGACGAGCTTGTAAATCAGGCGCCTGCGTGTTCAATTTTGTATTCTGTCGGACTGATCTTGCTCCGCATCGCGATGCGATCTGCTGGCCTAGTCTTCAAGGTCAGGCAGAGGACCGAGGCGTTCTGGCGCGGAGAGCCCGGCGGCGATGGGCACGAACTGATCGACGTGACCATTGTGGGCGACGAGCGCATTGTGCCCCTGACTTCGTCAGCGCGCTCACTCACGAATGCCGTCGGAGTGGCCCTCGGGCTGCTGGCCCTCGCCTTCGGCGCGCCTGACCTGGAGATCAGCTTCGACCCTGGCCAGACCGAGGCTATGGTCCAGTGTCGCGGCCATCGTGCCGCGGTGAGAACGGCAGACGCTCTCCTTTTCATTCGTCGTCTTTGTTTGGATGGTACTAGAGATTTGTTCGCGTATTCTCTGCGTGCAAGCATTTGGGCGTCAAAGACACTCTTGATCGCAGCGACGTTCCCGATGCGATGATCTTCTGATGCCAGAAGCTATCTTTGCATTTGCGTGTGATAATTGCTGAAGCGCTGGTTCTCTGTTGGCTGCTGTGCAATGTTTGCAACCGAGTCCTGTCCATCCCGTTCCTGAAGTACGCCGGCGGGGTGTGCGCGAGGGTCTTTCGTCGGATTTACGGCCAGCTTAGTCGCGGTCGCGTCGTGCCTGACCACGCCTTCCGAGCCAGCCATTGCATTCCGAGCATCGACTGCGTCGTGGCGCGGAAGAGGCAACTGCACCTCGAGCGAGTCCTCACCCGCGGACCCGCTGCACTGGAGGCGCTGCTGGCCCTGGAGAGCGAGCGTGACCACCGGCTGCGGTGGAGCCCTCAGGTGCGCCAGGACCTTGAGCTTTTGTGGTCGTCTGTCGTGCCTGCCATGCCGGCCGCGAGCTCGCGGCAGGAGTGGAGTGTATGTGTGTGCTTGCACGGGAAGGTGAGGGGTATTGCTTCGGGTGATGTCTCCTTGTTGCCATAATCTATGCTCAAGCATCTCTTCTCTCGTCAGAGGCGCCCATGGGACCTGCCGACGGCCGGCCCCCGATCGCCGTCCTCGCGGTGGCCCTCGCCTGGGCGGGCTGGCGCGCCGCCGAGGTCGGCCTGCTGCCCGAGGGTCTGCTGGGCTTTGGCGGGCCGCCGCCCCCGCCGCCGCAGCCCGACGCCGACGCGGTGCTGGGCGGTGGCGATCCCGAGGGCTCGCCCGCCTGGCTGGAGGCGGTGTGCCCAGTGGCGCCCCAGTGCCCAGCCTGCCCGGCCTGCGTCTGCCCGCAGGTGGAGCTGCATGGCCCGTCGCCGGGGGAGCAGGCTGCGTGGCTGCTGCTACAGCCCGTGCTCACCAACCTCTTGGGCGTCGTGGTGGGCCGCTGTTGCGTGCGAGGCCGATCCGCTGCGGTTAGGCATGGCGCGCCTCCCGCTCGACGTGGAGGCGGAGTGGTACAGTGAGCTGGTTTTCGGCCAGTACGGGGCCGTGGAGTACGACGGCGACGGCGTAGATCACAAGAGCAGTTTGCTCCATCTTCTCGGCGATGACGTTTGGTGGATCGGTGGGCCAGACGGCGATGAGCACTTCCAGGACGCTGGCTGCCAGGGCTATTCGGACGACACCGTGTCCGCCAGAGTGGTGCATCTGCCAGTCGAGGTAGGCGGCGATTCGCGGTTGTGGCTCGATGAGTACCTTCGAGAGATGGTTTGGCCACCACGGATCGTGCCGCCCACGTGTCGCGTTGTATATGCGAGGAAGGGTATCTGGCGTACGGCTGCGACCAGGTGAGTCTGGGTGCTCTGACGGCGCTGGAAGTTTGGTGTGAGCGACTGGTAAGCTTCGTGGCGGCTCACGCTCATCCGCACGTCGTGCCGTGGGACGTGCAGCCCACCGTGGTCGCAGCAGGCTCAGTGACGTGGGTCCCTGTGGCGCGCAGGCTGCGCGAGGATTGCGAGGGCTTGCAGGCCCGCTGCGGAGCCCCCTCTCGCGGGCTGGCAGGCGGCCCAGGCGCAGGCGGCGGCGGCGGCAGCGTGGGCAGCAGCGCTGGGAGCGAGGACACGGGAGGCGGGGGTGGTCGCGGACGCGGTGACGGCAGCAGAAGCCGAAGCCGCGGTGTCGACACCCCCTGGGGCCCATGACGGCTCCGCCGGCCAGGGGGTCCCCCGACCCTGGTCGGCTTCAGGGGGCTGGCGGCCGCCCCAGACTGGCGGCCTCGCGGGGGCAGCGAAGCCTCTTTCCGCTCCCTCTGGTGCCGTTGGATTTGGTGCGCCCGGGGCGCGGCAGTGATCGCCTTGTGATGGTGAACGACGCGCTGAAAGCACTGAACTGGATGGCAGGCTGGAAGGAGTTTTTGTGGGCGAATCGCGGCCCAGACGGCCTGCCCGATGACATGCAGGCGGACGTCCAGCGGAGGGTGTGTGAGTTGGTTGATAGCTGGTACCCGCGCCCTCCGCCTCTCAGCGACGAGGCGGCTCTCAAGAAGTTGCTTCAAGGACATTTCCCATATCAGGCTGCGGGATGTCCGACTAGGGTCACGTCCTTCAAGCTCGACCTCCTGAGCCTCCCTGGCTCTGTCCGAGGGTGTCCACTGATCACGGACGTGGCGCCCTCAGAGGTTATCGGATTTCTGGAGGACTATCGCGAGCGCATGCCGGCGCCGCCCGTTGAGAAATACAAGACGGTCCCCTACTTCGATCCCGAGCTACGTTTTAATCAGAAAGAATATCATCGGCTCCTCCGCCGTTTGGCAGACATTGGCATCATTACTTGGACCAGTTCCCCGAAGTGCAATGTGGGTCTCTTCGCGGTGGAGAAGGACGGCGGCGCAGCCCAGAGGTTGATCGTCGACGCCAGGCGGGCCAATGAGTGCTTTCAGGCGCCGCCCGGGGTGTCGCTCCTGAGTTTGGAGGGCCTGTCGAGAATAGAGGTGGAGCTGCCCGCTAGCGCGCCGCTGGGGTCTGAACAGGCCGCAAAGTTGTTGGAGGACTGCTGCCTCTCGATCGGCCTCTCGGACGTCTCGAACTGTTTCCACGGGTTGCGCGTGCCAGCTTGGCTGTCTGATTATTTCTGCCCCCCTCCTGCGCCGGCTCACGTGATGGGCGCGGCGGGCGCGGAGGTTAACGGGCGTGTTCTTGGCCGCGCGGAGGCAGTAACACCGCGCTGGGCTGTGCTCCCCATGGGCTTCACTTGGAGCCTATGGATCGCTCAGATGATCAACGAGACCACCGTGACCAAGGTGACACCCTCTCTGCCTGGATCCCCTCTGCGCGATCGCGGACCGCCGCTGGTGGCGAGACCTGCCCTGGAGGAGGAATGCAACGCGCTCAGCCACTATGTGCATGTAGACAACCTCGGAGTGATAGGCGTCTGCGAGGCCGCAGTTGGCGACGCGCTCGAGCAGCTGGAGGAGGGCTTCAACCGCGAGGGGCTGCTGCTGCACAAGTCGGAGCGCTCACGCGGCGGCATCGTCGCGCTCGGCACGGAGCTCGACGGGACGGCGCTGCGGACGCGCGTCACGCCCAAGCGATTCTGGAACATATACCAGGCTTTGGGCGCGCTGCTGCGGCGCTGGCGGGCCAGCGCGTGGGCGCTCGAGGTCGTCTTGGGGCACTGCACGTTTGCCGCCTTGTGCTGCCGGGGCCTGCTCAGTGTTTTCCATTCGGTGTATGCCTTCGTGGGGCGGGGCCGCGCCTCAGGACGGGCAGGGCCGCTGTGGGACGAGTGCCGCTCCGAATTACAGGCCTTCAGGTCGCTAATGATCTTCATGTTCAGTGACTGGCTCCGAAGCTGGAACGACCTGGTGGTCCAGACCGACAGCAGCCTTGAGGGGTGCGCGGTGGCGCAGGCGCTCTGGCCTTTGCAGGCCGTGCGCGAGGTGGGTCGCACCTCTGAGCGCCAACGCTTCCGCCGAGTGGGCTCCCATCGGGCTCGAGAGAGCGCCCTCGAGACGGCGGGCTTCTGTCGGCAGGCGGACGGAAGCTGGACAGTCGCAGCCGCCGAAGGGTTTGATGAAGAGAGTGGTGCTTCCGAGGAGGCGTCAGACTGGGAAGTGGATCAGTCTTTTCCCGAGGTGCCCGCTAATCTTCTGAAGTCAGTTTTGCGGCGACTGGTGGGAGTGCAAAAGTGGCAACGTTCTGAGGGAATTCTGGTGAAGGAGGCTCGTGCTCTTGTCAAAGGTTTCATTCGTGTTGTAGCTAGCTCGCGAGTGTGTGATATGAGGCAGCTTTTGTTGTGTGACAATATGTCGGTCACCCTCGCCTTCGGCCGTAGTCGTGCCAAAAACTTTCTGCTTCTCGTTCAGATTCGCGTCTTCCAGGCTCACTGCTTGGCCAGGAATGTCTTAGGGGCTGTGCGTTGGATCCCTTCCGAATTGAACTTCTCGGATAAGGGTACTAGGATTTTTGAGAATAGCAGCGCCAGTAAGACGTTAGTGGATGATATTCCTTTGTTTTTGAGTGTCAAAGGCAACAATTTAAAGGGGACTTCGAAATGCCCGCAATCCCCGAACCTGTGTAAAGTAGCTGCTGCTGCTTCTGTCTCTCCCCTCTCCCGTTACGTAGACATTTCGCCTCTATGCTTACCACGTACTTTCTGTGATCATCCAGATTTCACGAGCCAGAGAGGCGATGGGCCGCCGCAGGCGGTAGGCGATGCTGCCGTCGTCGGAGGCTCGGCCGAGCGAGGGCCAGCTGGGGCTCGAGACGCTGTCCAGCCAGAGGAAGGCCACCTTGCGGCCACCAGGCGCCCAGCCGGCGCTGCGCGGCAGGCTGAGTGGCAAGCGCCGCGGAAGGGCTCCCACCGACAACGAGGATCGCCTGAAGCCCGCGCCCAGGCTGGCAGACGTCGGCGAGAGCAGCAGCACCAGCGGCGAGGGGAGGCCAGGGCCTGGCGCTGCGCTGGGAGCAGCGCGGAAGCGTACGGGCCGCCAGCCGCCAGAGAGGACGAGAGCAGGTGATCACCGTCCTGACGGCCGCGGCCAGGGGCGCCCACCGCTCCCCCAGCGAGCGCTCGGTGGCGCTGGAATTGCTGGGGCGATGCCGGAGCCGGTCGGCGGGCTTCGACTCTTCGGAGGGAGAGCGCCCGCGAGTGCACGGCGAGCTGGTCGACGGCACGCGAATGGGGTACCTCAGTTTGCTCCTCTTCATGAGCCGGGGCGCCAGCAAGGGCATTCAGATCCATGCAGGCCTGATATTTTCGACGGCGGAGCTCTCGAGGGCTGGCCGCTGCGGGCTCCCCCAGGCCTGCCGCTGCCGGAGGGGCTGGCGGCAGGGGGCCCCCGGCCGCAGCTGGCGCAGCTGGTCTCTGACGGTGTGGGCTGGAGTGGCCAGGATGTTGGCTGGCCTTTTCCCTCTGCAGGCCTCGGTCCTGTGGTCGGTCTCGCTGGGCAGCCGCTGGAGGCCGAGCAAGCTGATGAGTCTCAGGGCGCGTGGTACGATTGCGCCTGCAGGTGGCATCTCCCTTTCCTGGAGCCTGCTGTTCTCCCTCTCACAGCGGATCGAGCGGAGCAGTACCACCCGCAGCGACGTCGGCATCGAGAGGGACTCGCCGCTCTTGCGGTTCATAAGGCCCGTCCAGAGAGTGATGGCCGATGGGCCGAAGGACGAGGTGGTTCGGACGTTCGCGCATCTCCAGAGTCCCCGGAAGCCGAACTTTTCGCGGGACGAGCCGAGCATCACAGAGACGATAGTGCAGCACCCGAGGCGGCACGCGGGACCGTCGATCGACATCTTCGGGCAGCGTCGGACGGGGCCGGAGGCCCAGCGCCGCGGACAGGGTGGAAGCATCATGAGTGTCCAGCGGTACGACGAGGACGTCAGGTTGGCGAGGAGTTGGGAGCTGCTCCCAGACAGGAGATCCCAGCTGCTGGAGGCATGCGGAGCAGCGCTCGAGGACATACCCCCCGGCAGACCGCACGGCGTGGCGCCCCATTGGCGGGGCATCTCAAGGGTCGCTACATCCTCGACCTTTATGCGGGGACTGGTGGCGTCGCGCGGGCCGCTGTCCAGCAAGGTTGCAATGCTCGTGCGTATGATCGGGCCCATGGGCCCAGCGAGGACTTGACGGTGCCCAGAGTGATCAAATGTGTGACTGCGGCAGTCAAACGGAAGGAGGTGATAGGTGCAGTCATGGGCCCACCGTGCGATGCCTGGGGTGGAGCGGCGGACAGGGGCAAAGACGGCCCTATCCGTTCGAAAGAGCAGCCGTGGGGTCTCGATGCTAACGAGTTGACAAAGCGTCAGTGTGAGCGCTTAGAGCGCGGCAACAATATCTTTCGGTGTGCTCTGCAGCTTTTACGTGTGCTGTGTAAATGTCAGGTTCCAACGATTCTAGAGCATCCCGTGAATTCGAGAATTTGGCATACCCCCGAGCTCATTGATCTCCTCAGAAGTTTCCATGGCCACACTAGGACTTTTGACCAGTGTCAGTTCGGACGTTGTTGGCGTAAACGCACAAAGCTTGCATTCTTTTTCATTGACGCGTCCGATACACTGAATCTCGATCGAAGGTGCAAAGGGAGCTCGGGGGGGTGCAGTCGCACTGGTAGAAGACACTTCGTACTGGAAGGGGCTGCTCCATCTGGTGTAAAGTGGACGGCAATAGCAGCTTCTTACCCCCCAGCTTGTGTAAAGCCATGGTCCAAACGCTGTTGTCCCATGAGCGTGATCGCATTGCCTCCCTAGTGCCTGGCTGACGCCGGCCTTCTGCCCCGCCGGCGCTGTGTGTTTTTGGCTCGTCTTTGTCTCGCTTTTTGGTGCCCTGTCCCGCCCGTCCCTGGGAACCTTCAGGGCTCGGGTAGCCCCCTTCGGGTTTGGGATGTCTTGAGCGGGGGCCGTCCTAGTCGCACGGCTCTCGACTTGCTCTGTGTTTCGATCGACTGGCGTCGAGTCGCGTCGACGCGCGGCACCTTGTAGCAGATATTGTCTCCACGAGAAAAATACAACAGCACCTGTGTGTGCTTGCACGGGAAGGTGAGGGGTATTGCTTCGGGTGATGTCTCCTTGTTGCCATAATCTATGCTCGAGCCTCTCTTCTCTCGCCCCCCCCTCCCAGGCCCGTCTCTTTCGGGATGTCTTGAGCGGGGGCCGTCCTAGTCGCACGGCTCTCGACTTGCTGTGTGTTTCGATCGACTGGCGTCGAGTCGCGTCGACGCGTGGCACCTTGTAGCAGATATTGTCTCCACGAGAAGAATGCAACAGCACCTTGATTTGTTCTCCCGGCTGGTCTCAACTTGTCTCCCAGCCGTATTTCAGCGCGTTGGTGCTCGATGAGTCCCCGAGCGCGTGCGCGAGTATAGATCAGCATGTTTGCCGGTTGCGTCGCGCATGTTTCCCTTTCTCCAAGGCTCTTTCTCAGCTGTTTAGAACCGCGCACAGCTAGCTCAGTCCCTCGCGAATGTATGCCTTCCCTGATTTTGCATGTACTGCGCGTGGTACAAAGTACTCGAATCGAGGATCGCCCATTCGTCATTTGAGCGATCTTAAGTATGAGAATCCCCCCTCTCAGCGGCCATGAGCTAGCCGAGTTCGATGTGGAGATGGCGACCTCGCGCCGTCTTGCACGTCGGGGTGGCCCCCCCGAACCCCTGTCCAGTAATCCTGCCCTAAAGGACGGAAGGACGGCTGGCAGTTTCGGCTGAGCTGCAGCAAGCAAGCATATACCTTGAGACATCTTCGGGTACCAGGAATGATATATATATATATATATACATTTGTATTGTGTATATATATATATATACATCTACATATAAAAATATACAGACAGATATACCCGTATCCATGTTGGCTCAAGCTTTGCGACTCGGGAGTGGCCCCTAAGTTGACTGTAGGTCCACGCCCCAGCCATGCCGCGCCAGCGCGCGGGTTCTTATTTTTTCCCTTAAGTGGCTGCTCAGCACCTATGCCGCCATGGAGTGGCCCGGGGCGCGGTGGCGGTGGTCGGGGCGCAGCGCGGCCTGCCATCCGTCCAAGTCACAGGGGCCAGTGGCGGCCAGTGGCGGCCATGGCGGCAGTGGCTCGGGCGCGGCGCCCCCGGGGAACTCGCGGGAGTGGAAGCGGGGCCCGCCGGGCCGTGGCACTACATCAGACCAAGCGCCGCGCAGGTCAAGTGGGCTCACGACGCCTCCGCGCAGCAGCCCTCGCGTGCCCGGCAGTGCTCGCATTGCCAGTCCAAGAAAAACTTCCCGAAGACCTGCTCCGCGCGCGGCATTCGGCGGAGCTGCGCCGCCGTCGCTGCGTCGGCCGATCCGGCGACGACTGCGCCCCCGCCGAGGCAGTCCACCCGCGCGCAGCTGGACCAGATCGCGCAGTCGTTCCAGTCGACGCTTGCCAATGTTCAGGCGTGTGTCGCGGCGCCCTGTGATGCTGCGCCAGCTGCGCACCCGGGCGCCGCGGCCCCGGCCCCTGCCCTGGCGCGGCCCGAGCTGGCCGGGAAGCTCAATCGTTGCGAGGCCGCCCTCGAGATTTACAAGGGCTACATTGCCGACCCGGAGCGGGCGTGCTTGACGCAGAAGATCTCCGATGTGAAGTCCGAGACTTCTGATCTCAAGCCGCTCGGTGCGAAGCTGGACGGTGCCCGCGAGGCCCTCCAGCGCGCGTCGGCGCGGCGCGAGGAGGCCGACGAGGCCTCGGCTGCTGCCGCGCTCCTCCGCGATGCCGCTGCGGCGGAGGAGGCCTCGGCGAAGGTAGCGGTCGCTGCCCTGGAGTCCCAGGTCTCGCCCGTCGACGACGCAGACATCATGGCGTCGATCCAAGCGCGGCTGCACCAGCTGATTGGCGCGCTGAAGTCGGACCCTGGGGCCCATGCCACACGCGTCGCGAGCGCGGGGAAGCGCGCGTCAACGACCTCTTCGCCAGTTTCCAATCGTTTTATCAGAAGGCCAAGGGTTGCCGCGTCCACCAGGAGAAGGCGGCGGGCTTGGCGGAGGGCCGCCCCGCCCGCCGCCGCGCTGGGAAGCGGCCGCTCCCGACGTCGCTGCAGGGGCCGACTGCCCCCTCGCACCGGGTTCGTCAGAATGGCAGGCAGCCTCTCAGTGAGGTCCCTGACGACGTCTTCCAGCGCCCTCGAACTCGCCAGGCGCCCCGCCGCTCCCGGAGCCGCGGACAGAGCGCGGACTTGTGGGCCGGGCCGCCCAAGCGGAGCTCCACCCCAATGTGTCCTCCGATGGCTTGTGCGCGTTTCCCCCCAGGATGAGGGCGCGACTCCGCTCGAAGCCGCGGCAATGGCGCGCGACCGCAGTGCGCTCTGGAGAGCTTGGCTTCGACGCGCTCGCGCCTTAACCACTCCTGCAATGCTTCCTCCGGCATCCTCGCCGCCGGCGGCGGGTGCCGAGTCGACGCTGCGCGGGGCCGCCGCGAACGTGCAGGCGCTTCTACCGCGCCGGGCCACCGGGAGCTACGCGCGGAACTCGGCCGCGCTGCTGCTTTCGACGGTGGCCATCTCTTCGCGGCTGGGGGCGCCAGGAGCACAACGACATCTTGGAGCTACGGACGGTGGTGGCCACCCTGAGGCACCTGAGCAGGACATCTCAGGCCTGGGGCCACATGATTTTGATGTTCACGGATTCGCTGGCGTCGTTGGGCGCGCTGCAGAAGGGCCGCTCATCGGCGAGGGATGTGCTGCACCTCATCCAGATGGTCTGCAGGATCGGAGGCTACTACCGATGGGTCCCGTCGGAGCTCAACCTGGCGGACGGGCCTTCGATGGGGGCTGCCCATCGGTGCGGCGGAGGAGACGGTCAAGCTACGCGTGTCCCGAGGCGTCCCACAGCAACTCCAGCGGCTCTTGCATCAGCGGCAGGCTCACCAAGGCACCGCCGCTGGGTCGGCACATTTGTAGCCTTCGGGATGCTGGTGGCGCGAGGGGGGGCCGTGGGTGACCAAGGCAGCCTGGGCCCACGCTCAACCAGATCAAAGGGGACGAGTGCGCCGCCGCCGTTGGCCAAGAAAGGATCGCGGGCCTGGGACGAGGCGCAGCGTGACAAGCTGCTCTGCACGAACCGCCTGGTCATCCATGCCGTGGATGACGCGACCAACCTGGTCTACCAGAAGGCGGTGCGCGAGTTCCTGGTGGACGTTGAGAGGAACCAGCTGGACTTCGGCACCTTCGAGGCGAGGGACCAGGCGCTGGCGGACTACATCTCCGACATGTGCTACGTTCGGCAGCTGGGCTTTGGGCGGGCCAACATGCTGTTCAACGGTTTCATGCGCGTCTTTCAGGACCACCGGGACCGGCTTCCGACGTCGGCCAGGGCACTGAAGTCGTGGCAGAAGCTGGGGCAGTTGGGCGAAGGCGCTCCTGTCATCATGGAGGCGGTCGGCCTGGTCATCGGCAGGATGTCCCGCACGGGTCGCTTGATCGAGGGCGCGGCGGTGCTCGCGCAGTTGGGCGGATGGCTCAGGAAGCAGGACTGGGGCCAACTCAGGGCTGAGGACGCGTCCGAGGGGCCTGGGGGCCAGCTGGCCTTCACCTTGGGCAGGCGCGAGAGATGAGAGAAGGTCAAGACGGGCGCGAACCAGGGCGTCGTGATCTCAGGGCCGGTGACAGCGGCCGTGGTGCGTGCCCTCCTGCGGGGCTGCGCCCGCAGGGACCTCGTCTTCCCCGTCTCGCAGGATATGTTCAGGCGCGAGTGGCACAAGGCGCTGGACGACGAGGGGCTGGCTGGCCCGGGCCCCCCGCATGCCATGCGGCACTCGGGGGCTGCCGGCTCCGTTGCAGGAGGCGGCTGCATGGAGGCCGCCCGCCGCAAGGGCAGGTGGCAAGCGACAGCAGCGCTGGCGCGCTACACGAAGACCCACATGCTGATCAACCAGATGGCCAAGATGACGGACGAGCAGGCACGGGCAGGCGTGGGCTTTTGGGCGGCGCCTGCCGAGGCGCTGATTTCCTTCATCAAGGAGTCGCCCGCCGCCCAGACTCTACTAGCGAAGCATGTGCTGGAGGAGCTGGAGCGGGCGCGTGGCCGGGAGGTCGAGCCCCCGAATTTCGAGGGAGGACGGGTGCTGACGACAGGCCGCCCTAGCACTGCCTCTCGCACCCGACGCAGGCGCAAGTCGAGCGCCGCA